TAAATGGCGGGGGTCCCCTCCCCGACTCAGAGAAAACTGACAAGGATTTGACTTCCCTGCTCTCCACAGACGGCTGAGTGACAGCCCCTCAGTGAAAAAGGAGAGCGAGCTGCCTCGCAGGGTGAATTCTGCCACCTCATCCAACCCTCCTGCCGAAGTGGACCCCGACACCATCCTGAAGGCGCTCTTCAAGTCCTCGGGGGCCTCTGTGACCACACAGCCCACAGAATTCAAAATCAAACTCTGAGCGGCGGGAGAGTGAGGCAGCCAGAGCGGGGCGGAGGAGGGTGGCTCTGTTTCCCAAAGCAAAGCTTGTGACCAATGGGCCGCTGGACTGGAGGCCCCTGAGGCGGGTAGAGAGCTTCCTCACTGGCGGACCCGCCTTCTGTGTTGTGTTCTGCCCCGTGCTCTTCTGTGCGTTATTGTTTCCTGTAGTGTGTCTCTTCGCCCTCCACCTCAGCACCCAGGTAGGTCTGTGTTGCTCAGAGTGCCTCCCCGCCTAACCTCAGCCCCAGACTGATTTCTGATCTGGAAGTGGTGGCCTCGGTTCTCTGCGTGGCTTTCTTGTGGCTCCATGGACTGCTGGGCAGGGGCTGTTTGAAGGACACAGCTTCCTCCAGGGGTGAGGGGTTGCCTCCCCTTTTTTAAACTTTTCAGACAGGGAATGGAAGCCCCTGCCATCCTAATGGGAGCCAGGTCGGCTCCAGAGCTGTGCCACTCACCTGCCTGGGCAATGGAGATAGCCTGGGTGGGGGTCGGGTCACAGGCCTTTTGTCCTCTCCCGGTAATTGGCTCCAGACTAGCCCGGTCTGGAGAGGGCCCAGTGGCCAGGACAAGGAGAAGCTGCTGCTCTGTCAGGAACAGGGCACCCGTGCTCTGGGCCTGGAGGGCCGTGCTTTGCTGTCACAGGCAATCCAGAGGGAATCTTGAGAGGTTATGTTTCTCTTTTCCTCTGGATATGCCAAGTGCTCCACTCCAGCCCTTGGCTTCTGGATATCAGTGCTGGAAGGGCTTGCACTGTTAGCCCTTCCCATTCTCCTAGCTCACACATTACATCCTGGTTCTGATGGCAATGCCAGCTCTCTGTAGTTCTGTGACATTGTGGGTTTGGAGGGTTATTGAAAGGGGAGAGGTTCGCTTGCTCCTGGCTTTTCCTTTCTGGTCTCCTGTGTCTACAAGACAATAGTCAGGGAAGCTGAGAGGCATATATCCAGCTGCCACCAAGGGGCACAACTTCACTATTCTAAGTGACCCATCCATCCTTGACCAGAGGGGTATTTTCCTGCCTTGGCAGTGAGAGGAGGGGAGAGGATCGAGAGCAAAGCAGCCTTCCGGGCACGCACTGGGTTATTCCCTCAGCGTGGTTCCAGGGAGTTGGGGCAAAACTAACATCTGGGGGCAGGCCCTGAACACCAAGACAGCGTGACTCCAGTCATGCCCAGTCTCCTACTGGTTTGTCGGGACTCTAAAGGGAGTCCAGCCTTGCAGAGCTAGAGAACGTTGGCGCAGCAGGATTCTGGGAGCTTTACAGAATCAGTAGCAGGTGCTATGAAAGTCACAAGCCTAGAAAGTCAAGAGGGCCTGAGACACTAAGAGCATCTCATGATCTGTTTGGGGCCAGCCCAGTGAAGAAAAACCTGGAAACTCATGTTTCCACAGAGTTAAATATGTCAAGCAGGAAGGACCCAGGGTTTGGACTCAGCTCAGTCCTCCAGCTCTGAGGTTGCCCAGGCCTGGGAAGTCCAAGGAATACATATGCTGATGGTGCTCCACTTTCCAGTTCTGTAAAGAGTGCAGTTTTTGTTCTCTCCCTCCCGCTTGAACGGGTGCAGACTCAGATCTCAGCAGCTGGAAGACGTTCCTCCTACACTGTCCCCTCTCGGCCTAGGAGAGCACCCAGGGCAGTAGGGCCTGGTTTCTTGGGACCCGAGCACAGTCTGGTCACTGCTCGGACTCTGTTTCCAGCAGAGGTGGTAACTACCTGCCCGCATGGCTTTCCCCTCCCCGCTCCCCCCAGTCCCTGCCAGGCTGCTCTGGTTATCACAGTTCATTGAGCCAGTTGCAGCCGACTGGCCACGTGGCCCCGGTTCTCCTGATAGCCGTGTGTACGTTGCGGGGTAAGCCCAGCCCGTTCACCTCCGCTGCTCTGCAGAGTGTCTTCTTGGGAAACCGGGAAGAGGTGGTGGGCCAATCCTCGTTTCCCTCTTCACCTCCCACTCCCCTACGTTCCCTGTCCGTGTGTCTTGTTCGAAGGGAGAGGAAGAGGCATTGAGAGATGGAGGAGACTCTGTTACTTAATCCATTTCTGAATAAACATTTGTTATTCCTACTTCTGAGCTGTCATTTCTTAAAAGATTTTACTAGGTGGCCTTGTGCGACTTGGAACCAGAAACAGGGATTTGCCTCTGCTTTGCTGCTCACCAGCTCTGGCCTTAGGACAGTTCCTCATAGGACTCGCCGAACCGAAGTCTCCACAGCCGAGTGAATGTGAGCATTAATGTTTGTGGGAGCTCCTGGACAGCAACTCAGTACCTCCTGAGCTAAAGTGCCTCACTGGGGACCAAGCATGGTCAGCTCCAGCAGAATCAGGTCTGTTCATAGGGAATGAGGGAGCCTGACTGGCTTTTGTCTTGGTTTGAAGTTCAACTCAGAAATTAACCTCTCAGATCAGCTATGCATTAGGAAAATAATTCGTTGATTTTTTTTTTTTTTTTGTGGTAAAATATACCTAAATTTTACTGTCTTAACCATTTCTAAGTATATAGTTCAGTGGTATTAAATACATTGACATTGTGGAGCCATCAGCATCATCCATCCCTATAATTCTTTTCATCTTGTAGAACTGAGACTATACCCATTAAACAATAACTCCCCATTCTTCCCTTCCTCCTAGCCCTGGCAACCACCATTATACCATTATGTCTTATGATTTTGACTACTCACATGAGCGGAATCACACAATACTTGTCTTTTTTGCAGTTGGCTTACTTCGCTCAGCATAATATCCTCAAGGGTCGTCTATGTTGTAGCACGTGTCAGAATTTCCTTTTTAAGGCTGAATAATGTTCCATTGTGTATATGAACCACATTTTGCTTATCTGTTCGTCCTTTGATGGACACTCAAGTTGCTTCCATGTTTTGGTTATTGTGAATAATGCTGCTGTGGACATAGTTGTACAACTGTCCCTTTCAGACCCTGCATCCAATACTCTGGAGCATGTACCCAGAAGTGGGGTTGCTGGATCATATGGTAATTTTATTTTGAAATTTTTGAGGACTCACTGTTTCCATTTCTACAGCAGCTGCACCATTTGACATTCTCATACAGTTTTATTATGATATTAAAAGGGGACCACTTCTGGGAAGAGGGAATGGAAGTACCCCTATTCTTTCCATGAAATACAACTCTGGATATTTTATATAAAACAAACAAGACTGGAAAGTGGAGAGAAGGCAGTCTGTCTGGGGACCTTGGGACCCAAGGAGTGACTGGTGCTAAGTTCCTTGAGTTTTCTTTTGGCTTCACATATCCCAAACTGGGTGCTGGAGAAGCAGACCAAAAACAAACAAACAAAAAACAAGGACCAGAAAAAGAATAGCTTAGCAGACTCAAAAACAGCCCCAACGTTACCAGCAAAGACCAAGTTGAGAGCCTAGACTTCCAGCCTTAGTAGGCTATATTGAGCGTACCCCAAAATCCCTGCTGGATGGTGTCAGAGAATGCCAGGTAGGGCGCTGAGACTTTCAGTTCATATCAATGGAGGCCACCTGAGGGGGAGAGATGAGGCACCCGGGCACCTCCCAAGCAGGGTGTTGCCAGCAGACGTGAAGCGAGATGATGGAACTCGTTCCCACCCAGCAGTAACTAGGAGACACTTCCCCCCCTTGGGTGTCAGCAGACGTCATAAGGAACCTGAACTTTTACCCACACCTGGCAGTAATGAAGCAGCGCCTTTCAGTCCCCATCAGGAGACATGCTATGTAACAATGTTTAAATAAGATCCAGAGTTTTCACAACATAATACCCGAGATGTACATGTTTGAATTGAAAATCACTCATACCAAAGATCAGGAGAATCTCACCTTGAAAGAGAAAAGACAATTGTCAAGAACACTGAAATGACGAAGATGTTAGAATTATCTGATGAGGATTTAAAAGCAGCCATTATAAAAATGTTGTCAAGCAATTATGAACACACTTCAAGTGAAAACAGTTCCAGCAAAGAAATGGAAAAAATAAAGACCCATTTGGAGTTGAAAAATAAAATTTTAAAAATGAAGGGGAAAGAATCAGTGAACTCGAAGATAAAACTATAGAAATTACCAATCTGAACAACAGAGGAAATAAATTTAAAAAAATAAAAGTACTTCAGGGACCCATAACATCAGATGAGAGCCTCAGAGAGAGAGAAGAAAGGGTGGAGCTGAAAAAGTATTTGAAGAAATAATGGCCGTAAACTCCCCAGAAATGGCAAGAGAGAAAAACCTGCAGATTCAAGAAGCTCAGTGGACCCCAAACCAGTTAAACCTAAAGAAGGTCACACCAGGACACATCATAGCCAGACTTCTGAAAACTTAAGACAAATCTTGAAAGTAAAAGAGAAATGATTCCTTATCCATAAGGAAAAACACGAGTGACAGCAGATTTCTCATCACAAACCATGAAGCCAGAAGGAATGGCACATTTTTTAAGTAGTGAAGGAAGACTGTCAACTACAAGTTCTATATCCAGCAGAAAATATCCTTCGGGAATTAGGGAGAATTTAGGCTTTTTAAGATGAAGGAAAACAGGAGAATTTGTTGCCAGCAGACCTACCCTGAAAGAGTAGCTAAAGAAATTCTCTAAACATAAAGGAAAAAATTAAAAAGGAAACTTGGAAAACCAGAAAAGAAGGAAGAACAATGGAAATAGTAAAACTATGGGTAAATAAAATACTTTCCTTGAGTTCTCTAAATTATGGTTGATGGTTGAAGCAAATGGTATAACATTGATCTGGTTCTCAGTGTATATGAAGGAACTATTTAAAACAATTACTTTAGAAATGGGAGAGAGCAAAGTGGTATAAAGAGGAAAGTTTGCTCCATTTCACTCAAACTGGTAAAATATGGACAGCGGTATATTGTGGTAACTTATGTATATATAATATAATCTTAGAGCAACCACTAAAATGATAAGAAATGAACCCAAGAAAACTATAGATAAATCAAAGTGAAATTCTAAAAAAAAAAAAGTTCAAATAACTTACCAGAAGGCAGAAAAAGCAAACAATAGAAAACAAAAAATATAATGGGAGATTTAAGCCCTAATGTAACACTAATTAAATGTAAGTGGTCTAAATATATCAATTGAAAGACAAATTGTCAAAATGGATGAAGAAATATGACGTAACTACATGCCATCTATAAGAAACTCATCTCGAATATATTAGTATGAGCAGATTGAAAGTATAAGTATGGAAAATTATAAATATGCAAACCTTATTTTTGAAAAGTGTGTATAATTAATATCAGATATGTTAGACTTAAGAGCAGAGAAGGACATTACATAATGAAGAAAGGCTCAATCCACCAAGAAGACATAATCCTAAGTATGTATTTACCAAACAACAGAGCTGCAAAACATGACACAAAAGCTAGTCAAATGGAAAGAGTAGCAAATCCACACTTAACACTGGGAGACTCCAGCACCTCTCTCTTAACAATTGGAGAACTAGACAGAAAACCAGCAAGGATGTAGAAGAACTTAACGCCGTCAACCAACAGGATCAAATCAACGGACTATTCCACCCAACAAAAGAATACACATTCTTTTCCAGTGCCCATGGAACATACATCAAGATAGACCATATCCCAGCCATAAAACAGATCTCAACAAATGTAAAAGAATTGAAATCATGCAGTGTGTTCTTTGGTCGTAGTAGAATCAGTAATGCCTGGCTTGAAGCTTGAAAGCTTTCCCCCTAAGATCAGAGACGAGGATGTCCCTTTTACCACTTCTGTTAAACATTGTGCTGGAGTTTCTAGCCAGGGCAATTTGGGTGAAAGGGAAAGAATTCAGCTTGGAAAGAAAGAAGTAAATTATCTCCATTTGTAAACGACATGGTCTCAAATGTAGAAAATGCTAAGGAATCCTCTAAAAGACTACTAGAACCAATAAACAGGGTACAAGATTGATTGATACACTCACAATGAACAATCTAAGAATCAGAGTAAGAAATAAATTCCACTTAGCATAGTCAGAAAGAAAATACTTATGCATAAGTTTAACAAGTGTAAAACTTATATTCTATAAACTACAAAACATTGAAAAAAACTAAAGAGACCTTGAGTAGCTGAAACAGTCTTGAAGAGAATTGAAGGACTCACATTTCCCAACGTCAGACCTTAACTACAAAGCTCCAGTAATCAAGACAATGTGTTACTAGCATAAGGATAGAAAAAAATAGATCAATGGAACAGAATGGAGAATCCAGAAATAAAGCCTCATGTAGCTTGTAAATTTTTAACGAGGGTGCCAAGATAACTCAGTGGAGAAAAGAACAGTCATTTCAATAAGTGACTCAAAGACAACCAGATATCCAGAAAAAAAACCATTGAACTTCATCAAAATTAAAAGCATCTGTGCTTTTAAAGGACACCTTTAACAAAATGAAAATCCACAGAATGGAAGAAAATATTTGCGAATCATATATCTGATGAGAGAATTGTATCCAAGAAGAGAGAAAGAATTCTTACAACTCAACAATAAAAAGACAATCTAAAAATGGACAAAAGATTTGAGAAGATACCTCTCAAAAAGAAAAAGATACATAAATGGCCAATGATAGCAAAAAAAAAAAAATGTTCAATATCACTAGTTATTAGGGAAATATAAATCAAAATCACAAAAGACCACATCCACTAGGATGGTTATAATCAAAGAGACAGACAATAACAAGTATTGGTGAGGACGCAGAGAAGTTAGAACCCTCATACATTTCTGGTGGGGTTGTAAAATGGTGCAGCCACTTGCGAAAGCAGTTTGGCAGTTTCTCAAAAAAGTTAAAACAGCGTTACCAAGAAATTTCACTCCTGTATACCCAAGAGAAGTTAAAACGTGCCCGCACAAAACTTGTACACAAGTGTTCATAACTTTACTCATAACGGTCCACAGTACAAACAATCCAAATGTCCATTGACAGTTGAATGAATAAATACTACGTGATCTATACACGTGTCAACGTAAGTGCATCCAAACCTATAGAAAATTTTATGTTCATTGAAGTTCCTTTGAGCCAAACAGGACATGCCCAGAAGCAAGCTCTCGACAGATTGAGAAAATGCTCCAGAGAATGGCAGTTGGCAGTTCTTTTTATGCATTTGAAATCAAAGGAAGGAACAAAAGGAAAATTACATGAAACCCATTTGGTCGTAGATTAAGGAGTGGGAAAAAGCAAGGCAGGGCAGTCTCTGTGACTAGATGAAAAATAGAATATTCACAGTAAATGCGGATAGTATTCTGGCAACAAGATCATGGAGCCTGGAAAAGAGGCTCATGCTGGCATTTCAAAGGTATGTTAACCTAGAAGCAAAAGAACATGGACAAGGCTCGCTTAAGATAAAGATAAACCTTTTACTAAGGAAGTTATAGGCCTGGGCGTGACTACACACCATGACCTGCCCAATTCAGAATTTATGATCAGGTCACCCTTGGAGGTTACTTTCGGTCCCTGAGCTTGTCAGGTGTGCTTCACAGCCCCATTTTTGTTCACACATGCAATGGAACATTATTCAGCCTTAGGAAATTCTGATACACGGTACAACATAGATTAACCTTGAAAACATACTAAATGAAAAAGGACACAAAAGGACAAATACTGTATGATTCCATTTATATGAGGTACCTAGTATCAAATTCATAGAGACAGTAAGATAGTGGTTACGAGGGGCTGGAGGGAGGGGAAACGTGAAAATCTGGAGGTGGACAATGGGGACATTTTCACAAAAATGTGAATGTACTTAATGCCACTGAATTGCACACTTCAAAATAGTTAAAATGGTAAATTTATATTTTTACTACACTATAAAAAAAAGGAACGAAGTACTGATACAAGCTAAAACATGCATGAACCTTGAAAAAACGATGCTAAGCAAAGGAAGCCAGTCACAAAAGACCACATATTGCATGATTCCATATATGTGAAATGCCCAGAATAGGCAAATCCACAGAGACAGGAAGTTGGACTAGTAGTGGCTACCAGGGTCTGGGGGTGGAAGGAGGGGCATGTAAAGAGATTGCTGGTATGGGGTTTCTTTTTGGGATACTGAAAAATTTCTAGAATTAGATAGTGATTGTGGCAAAACCTAGTAAATATACTAAAACAATTTTATGGTATGCGAATTATATCTCAGTAAAGTTGATATAAAAAATTTAGTGGCTTAAAACAAGAATAATTGATTTCCGCACTGTTTTGGTTAGGGCTGAGCAGAGATAGCTCATCTCTCCTCCACGTGGTGTTTGCAGGGGTCACTCGTGCAGCTTCATTCATTGAGTCAGCTGGGATTAGAACAGCTGCTGCGACTTAACTCACGTCACCACCACCTCAGCTGGCAGCCTCTCTCGCCCCATGTGGTGCTTCATTTACAGCTCTAGGTCAAGCTTCTTTACATGGCTGGATCCCAAGAGGCTGTAAGCTGTAGGCTTAAGTCCTGAGCTAGAAAACCCTAGTATATGGTTTGTATCACATTCTGTTGGTCACAGCAAGTCACCAGACTGGCGTAGTCAAGAGAGCACATAGATTACACCTCGACGAAAGGAGTGGCATGCATGCACACGAATGGGAGGAATTGTTCGCAGACAGCTTTGGGAAAAATCTCCCACAGAGACCATTTCAAGGTGAAATTATAGGACCTTTGCCTCCAACAATAAGCAGAACTTAGTAAGTAATGTGGGAAACCCTCCCCCTACAAAACACCTAGTAACTTCTCACATAACCACCTTCCTTTCATAGCTGTGCACCCACGAAAATTAAGAATGTCTCCAGGTACAAAAATGAAGAATCTAGATACTGGAATGTTAAGCTAGCAATGAAGCTATAGCTACCCTAAAGGTATTTGTTGATCACAAGGACCTAAATACTGGATTTCAAAGACTGAAATGAGGACAAGCGACATGGATATCAGCCTACACGGGGTGGAGTATTGGAACTTAGGTCCCTGCATCAAATTCCCTTACTGGTGTCTCTTGGGATTACATACCAAATAAACTACTTGTGCCTGAATCTTTGTCCCAAGGTCTGTTTCTGGGGAAACCCACTCTAAAACAGTTGGTACCAGAAGGGCCTTAAGACATCCTCAAAATTTGATTCTGGAATCAGAAGACTCACCAGCCAGATGGCAACAGAGACCCAGGAGCTGATAGTAAGTGGGGGTGGAGTGGCGAATAAGGATGGCTACAAATTATTTGATATTCTTCCCTTCAAGATGTGGGTCTGTGTCCCTTCTGAATCTGAGTGGCCCCTGTTACTGCTTTGACCAGCTATGATTCACCCAGCTTCTGGGCCCAGACTTTGAAAGATTGGTAGTTTCCCCACTTTGTGCCCCTGGAGACTCTGTGGGGGCCTTGAGCCACCACGTAAGAAGACTGACTACTGAGAACACACACCGAGAGAGCCATGGGTAGGTGCTCTAGCTGACGGTCCAACATGAGCCTAGTCTTCCAGCCATCCCGCTAGGGTGCCAGCCTTGTGAATGAAATTGACTTGGACCCATCAGTCCAGCCCAGCCGAATACCACCCGAGTGATCTTGAGCAATACCATGCAGAGCAAAGGAATCACCTAGCCAAGCCCTGCTCAAACTCCTAACACAAAATCCTGAGATATAATAAAATATATCGTGATTGTTTTAAGCAGTTGAGTTCTGGGGCAATTCCACAGCAACAGCTGGCCGGAACGCATGATGGTAACACTTGTGCTGTGTCATCGCAATTCTAAGACTCACCTCTTCTGCACTACAACGAGGCACAGTAGGGAAGGGGGAGCGTTGCAAATGACACCGTCCCTCTAGCTGCTCAGAAACCAGAAAGTAGCAATAATCCTGGATTTCTTTTTCTCTCACCCTGCATATCCAACGTGTCAGCAAATTCTACGGGCATTCTTCAAAACAGCGGACCGCCTCTCATCACTTCCACCGCCATTTCCCTGGTGACTAAGTCGTCATCTTTCTTTTAGATGACTGCGGTGGTGTCTTAAACGATCTCAGAGCTGTCCTTGCCCTCCTGCAGTCTAACTGCAATGTAACAGCCAAGGTGACTGTTTACACATCACTCCTTTCTGCTCAAAATCCCACAGTGGCCCCCGTCACACGCAGGCAGAGTATCAAAGTGCTTCGGGTAGTACCGGATCCTAAGGGATCCGTCAGGCCCCTGGCCCCTCAGATTCTTCCTCTGGTCACTGTGTTCCTGCCACGCTGGTCTCCTTGCTACTTATTTCTCTACCACACCAGGGAGGCTCCAGCCTCAAGGCCTTTGCTCCCGCCTTCCCCTCAGCCCGGAATACTCTTCTCCCAGACACCTGAAAGCCTTGCTCCCTCGCCTCCTTCAAGTATTTATTCAAATGTCACTTAAATGAACCCTTCACCTATTTAAAATTGCAACGCCTCCCCTCACCACACTCTCCCTCCTCAATTTTTCTCTTTAGCACCAATGCCGTATGTTTTATATTTTGCTTCTTTGTGTGTTCATTGTTTCTTTCCCTCGTTAGAATGTAAACTCCAGGCAGGCTCGATTTTATTCCACCTCTGTCTCTAGGATTACGACAGTGTCTGGAGCATTCACTGTTATTCGTGGAATGAAGAGTAGAGTTCACACCGGTGAACGGCACCGTCCACGCCGACATTAACTCGCAAGTTCAGGCGCAGACTTTAGTACGGGTCAACGAAGCTTGGGCCCTGGGGTTACTCGGGCCGGAGAGGCGGGCCCGTAACTCAGAGGGCGGGGCCGCCACGCGGCGCCGTCGTCATGGAAACGCGCCACTCCCAGCTCCCAACTACAACTCCCAGCGGCCCCCGCGGCTTTCCATTCGGCAAGATGGTGGCGCGCAGGAGGAAGCGTGCGGCGCGGGACTCTCAGGAGGGCATTCCGAGCCCGCCGGGCTACTCAGGTGAGGGGCTGGCGGGGCCCGGCACGGCCAGGGTTCGCGGGGGGACGGCTCGGGGGTCGGTGGTGGCCCCGGAAGGTCGCGAGGCCCCGGGCCTCCCAAGATCCACGCGGCACTCTCCTTTGGCTGCGCTCTCCCGGGACGAGCCCACTTTGGTCTCCCTTGGGTGAACCCGCCTCTGCCCACTCTCCCCCTTGTCCGTCTTCACCATCCCCCGCTCCCCACCCCACCGCCTTTCCCTAGGTGAGCACATCTACTGATCGCTTCTTTGTAGTTCCTTAGTTCCGCCTGCAGCAGTTCTCACCTGGGCAATTAACGTGCTTTTTAATTGGTTCTGCTTCTCTTCTTACCCCTGCCTTCTATTCTCCACCCAGGTGCCACATGTTCTTTCTAAAGTCAGATTTAAATCAGTTCTTGCTTCACACGCCCACCTGTAGCCCCGTACCCACTGAACTCCCTCCGGTGGCTAATGGTAGCACCTAAAACAAAATCCAAACTTCCTACCGTTGCTCTGCATGGCCCCACACGTTCTGGCTGGTGCTGACTTAAAGGTCTGTCTTTTTATTCCTCTGAAGCAACAAGCTCTTCACACCTTCAGGGGTTTTGCACTTGCTGTGCCCTCTTCCTCAGTCCCAGCTGTGCCATGACGGTTGCACAGCTTTGTGTCATTTGGGTCTTAGCTTTAATGTTACTTCCTCAGAAGCCATTGGGCTGGTTCGCTTTTTGCCCTCCACCCCCCACTACTTCTCCCTGTCTGTTTCTCTCCTGTTTGATGCAGCCTTGTTACTACCTGCTTGTTCATTGTTTTCCTCCATTACCATGTGAGCTTCCTGAGTGCGGGGACTGCAGCTCTAGTCCCACGGTGCCCTGAAAAGGTGGTGAGAAAAACGCAAAACAGTCCCTGGTTTTATGAAGATTAAAATTTATGGGAATATGAGCGATTATCCAGATAATCACACAAGTATAGACTTAAGACCATGACAGAAATGATGAAGGCACAGAGTAGGTGGATCTAACCTGGCATATGACTCTCCTGAGGAAGTGAAGTTAAAACCTGAAGCTAAAACAGGTGGAAGGAAGAACAGGTGGAAGGAAGAGGGGTGATGTTTAGGTAAAGGGAACAGCATGTGGGAGGCCCTGGCTGACTGGAGGAAGAGAAAGAAGGCCAGAGTGGGTGGCGTGCTGAATCATGGGGGCGGGGATGATGTGTGAAGAAGCCACAGGGGTGGTCAGAGTGGCAGGGCCTCCAGCCATGGTAAGGATCTTGATGTTTATGCCCAGAGCAGCAGGGTTTGAACTTTCCTCTTGTTTCGCTCCCCACCCAAAATAATTGCCCGGTTATGGTTTGTCTCCCCCACCAGCGTGGAGGCTCTTCCCTGGCACAGTTTTTGTTCATTCACTGTCAGAGACCGCATGGCACCCTGCACGGGCCTTGGCAGGGGAACGGCTCAGTGAATGATGGGTAGCTGGGTGGAAAGGGATATGGGACTAGAAAGGGGCAGCCTGCACCTGACTTCCATGTCGTCCCTCCCTGCCCCATTTTCCTTCCAGCCGTTCCGATCAAGTTCTCTGAAAAGCAGCAGGCTTCTCATTACCTCTATATGAGAGAGCACAGAGTTCGAGAAGGCACCAACTCTTCCTGGCCTCAGAAGCGGACTCTTTTTGTCCTCAATGTGCCCCCATACTGCACAACGGTGAGTTGGTATCTGAGAGGGATACCGTAGGCTCCGGTGGGACTCTAGGCTGAGCTGGGCTCTCACTGGCCCCCACCAAGTCCTTAATGGTGAGATGGAAGCAGCTAACTGAAGCCCCAAGGTAGATATCTAGAAGGCTGGCTCCCTCTCATGACAGGAAATTGGCTTTTTCAAGAAATGTTTTTAAAACTCCTTCTCGGGAACCCAAAGCTTTTTATTATTACCCAGAATTGTTTTAATTGCATGTTGTTTTTCTCTGATTATAAAAGTGATGCATGTTCAAAGTAAAAATTAGGAAAAGTATAAGAAACTAAAATTACTTCTAAATCTATACTCCAGACATGTCAGCTTTTTTTCAAAAAACTGTTAAATTTAGTATTATGTAAATATACAAAAGAGAAACTAAGGAAATTGCTGGACTTTAGATGATTTTTTTTTTCAAAAAAAATCAATTTCTAAAAGATGACAGTTAGAGAAGGAACCATTAAGAAGCGAGGGTGTCATTTTTAACCTTTACTGAAGAATAGTGTATGTACGCAGAAGGCCCTGGGTCAGACGTGTTCAGTTCGTAGTGTTTCACAAACCAAACATACCCATGTGACCACCCACATCGAGAAACAGCATCACCCGCACCCCCAGATATCTCCTTGTGCCCCTCATCCCACCAAGGCAAACCATCCTCCTGATTCTAACAGCATAGATTTAAAAATCAGATAACACCACAGATATCCCCAGCTATGCTTGTAATAATTTAAAAAGGAAGTTTAGAGCCTAATCTTACTTTCGGGATCTTTTACTCAGAGATAGGAAAAGACTGGTCTTTTAGCAAATGCCTTTCAGAGTGAGAAATCCCTTTTAGATTGGTGAGAACACCAGGCATATCCTGGGCATACACTTCCAGCGGTGACCTGCCACAAAGCCAGAAAGCTTATGCCTCGTACTCCATCCCTTCCCAAGTCCCCTGGCCAGTAGAGGTGTGGCTTTTTACCCACAGTTTTTAACATGAAAGTTAACAAGTCTATTGTCTCACCTGGAAAGGCAGGATTCTGACCTCCATGTTGAGCTGGGTGTGGCTTTCCCAGGCGACACCCTGTGTGCCCCCAGGTTGGGCACAGACCGGGGCTCCCAGACCTCCAGGGGTGGAGGGAGATTCTGGGAAGGCCTCTCACACTGCTTCCTCGGCCTCCTCAGGAGTGCCTGTCCCGCCTCCTGTCCCCCTGCGGCCCTGTGCAGTCAGTGGAGTTACAGGAGAAGCCGGACCTCACCGAGAGCCCAAAGGAGCCAAAGTCGAAGTTTTTTCACCTCAGGCCCATTCCGGTGAGCCTCTCAGTACTGGGGTCTGCTGGAACGGGGGTGTGGGGTGGGGCTAGGGCCGTGTCCCCAGTGTCTGAGGGGAAGGTGGTGTAAGGTGGCCGCGGGAGAGCCTTTCCTGGGGCCCTAGGCCAGTCCTGGCTGTGTGGGGTCCAGGAGGGTGTCCGGTGATCAGAGCCTCCACTCCTGGGCTTGCCACATTCTTTGGCTTCCTGCTGGCTCTTTCCATTATCCTGGGCGAGGTCTCTCTGCCTGCCGCCCTGGGGGCCTCCTGAGTTCCCAGTCTGCTTCCCCCAGCCTCAGTGGCCCCAGTGCCATGTCCCCGTGTCCCCTGTGGCCACACCTCCTCCTGGTATAGTGGAGTTTGAAATAGTGTGCACTCCATGTGTCCATCCGCTCCTGGCCTAGGGTGAGTACGCTGTCACCGAGTCCCTTGCATAATGGGAAGAAAGGCCCCTGGGGAGGAGATGGGAACAGGTCACCTCTAGCGGAAGTTGGATGACTAGGATCTCGGCCGTTCTCCCCGTGGGTTACAGACAGCCTTCCAGTTTATCTTCTCGGTTCAGGGACCCAGCACGTCCTCCCTGGTCCAGTGACAAGCCAGGCTGAGGGCGGGTGGGAGCCCTCGTGCCAGGCGTGGGTGGCTGGAAGGACAGGAAGGCTCCCAGCCCTGTGACATCTCTTCCTCCTACCAGGGGTTCCAGGTAGCTTATGTGGTGTTCCAGAAGCCAAATGGGGTGTCAGCCGCCTTAGCCCTGAAGGGCCCTTTGCTGGTCTCGACAGAGAGTCATCCCGTGAAGAGCGGCGTTCACAGTCAGTACTGCGGGAGGTGCCGGCTGCCTCCTTCCTGAGCCCTGGGGTGGCAGGGGAAGCTCGGGGCATAGCATCCGCCGCGTTCACCTGCCCTGAGAGCAGCACGTGGAGACCTGAGCCTGGCACTCGGGGTGGCAGGTTCTAACCACTAGTAGAGTCTTCCTTATCTCCTGAACCCTGGGCCACAGTCTCCATGCCCGCGGCCCGTGTAAGATGATCCCAGCTGGCCTGGCGGGGCCTGGGGTGGGGCCCCGAGTGTCAGGTCTGAGGGCGTCGTTTCCCCCAGAGTGGCTGAGCGACTACGCAGACTCCGTGCTGGACCCCGAGGCCCTGAGGGTTGAAGTGGACACGTTCATGGAGGTGTATGACAGGAAGATCGCGGAGGTAGGGCTTCCACAGGGCCAGCTGTCCATCACCTGTGTGGCCACGGGGACCGTATTGCCACAGGCGTCGTGTGGCTCCCAAGGGGGAGGGTCAGTGGCAGCCTGTCCAGGCTCCCTTTTCCCCTGCCGAGTCCCGGGCCACTTAACTAGGTGGCGTCGAGTCTCTAGGTGATCTGTAGGGAGGGACGGTCTGAGGGCGGAGCAGGGCGCAGCACGGGCACATCTGCGCCACCTCCCAGCTCCTGCACCCGCATGTGCTGGGCGCGACGGAGCAGCAGCTGCTGCTGGGCACCCAGGGCGGTTCTGGGTGCGGGGTCGGGGGAGAACCAGGAAAGGAGGGAGGTGAGAGGTGCTCCTGAGGCTGCAGGGCCAGTCCTGGGCACCTGCCCATCAGAGGGTCGTGTTTCCCGCAGGAGGAGGCCAAGGCCAAGGAGGAGGAAGGGGTCCCCGACGAGGAGGGCTGGGTGAAGGTGACCCGCCGCAGCCGGCGGCCCGTGCTCCCCCGGACGGAGGCAGCCAGCCTGCGGGTGCTGGAGAGGGAGAAGCGGAAGCGCGCCCGCAAGGAGCTGCTCAATTTCTATGCCTGGCAGCACCGCGAGACCAAGATGGAGCGTAAGGGAACCCCCAGACCCCGTCCGCCGGCCCCGCTGCTCTCGGCTCCCAGAGCGTGGACGAGGCCTGTGGCCAGAGCGCAGATCCCCAGAGGGCGAGCACTGGACCTGGGGACCGGGCTGGGGCGTCCTTAGCACAGACTTCCCAACAGGCTCTGGGGTTAGGGTCCCAGCCTGGCAGCACCCTGTGCAGTAGTTCCCCCGTTGCCCCCCAGAGTTTGCCTTGGGGGCCTTTGGGTTACTTAGAGGCTGCAGAGGTACCTGGTATGTAGGACCCAGCACCAGACCCCTGGGCAGTTAGTGCTGGAAACTGTCAGCCTTCTCGCAAGGACCGGGTTGCAGAGGGAGCACGTCGGGTGCTTGCCGTGGGCGCGGAGGGGACCGCTGCTGGGTGCGCGCGCCTGCACACAGTGGGGCAGGAAGGCCTGTGTGGAGAGGGTCCCGAGGTGGCACCTGATCTGTGGCTGACCCTGGGCAGCGATGACGCTGAGCTCACTGCCCCCACCGCTGCTGGGTGCGTGCGCGCGTGCCTGCACGCAGTGGGGCAGGAAGGCCTGTGTGGAAAGGGTCCCGAGGTGGCACCTGATCTGTGGCCGACCCTGGGCAGCGATGACGCTGAGCTCACTGCCCCGCCGCCTGGTCTCCTGGCAGGATAGCTTCCCTGTGGGCCCAGGAGAGGGGGCAGGCCCGGCCCACCCCCCAGCCATGCTGCTGTCTCGCCTGCCTCCTACACTGCCCACCCCTCCTGCGGCACCTCCGCTCCTGCTCTCGTCCACTCCGGGTCACCTGACCGGCCTCCCGCAGCCTTCCCTCCACTGGGCTCCAGGCCCCACGTTCCCCTCTGACCCGGTCATCCAGTGACCAGAGCTGCCATCTGAATTCTGTGGCAGTCTGGGGGTGGAGTCCCCTTTCTTCCCAACGTCCTCCCCAGTCTGATTGCTGCAGCGGGGAGGAGCTGGGAATGGTGTCTCCAGGGGCTCCTAGCACCCCCAGAGCCTCCTTCCTTTACCTTCAGGAGTGGCAGGGGACAGTGGGGTGATGGTGGTGGCAGGGAGCGAGCGCCTTTTTGCTTTCTCTGTGATGACTCGGGCACGCCGTCTTCTCCGCTTCAGCCTGCCCCCTCTGACGGGGCCTGCAGTCCAGTTTGCTTATTGCAGCATCCAGACCATTTCCCAAAGCAGATGCGAGGGGGGGCAGTGCTGAGCTCCCCAGCGGGGCATGGCGACTGAGGGGCGGGGCCCACGACTGGTGAGGGGCAGCGGGGCACAGTTCCCACCGGCCATGTCTGATCCTGGCCCTGTCCTCTCCCCCCCGCACCCCAGATCTGGCACAGCTGCGCAAGAAGTTCGAGGAGGACAAGCAAAGGATAGAACTGATGCGGACCCAACGCAAGTTCCGTCCCTACTGAGCCAGCACGGAGAGGGTGGGGGTGGTGCTGGTGCGTGGCCAGTGAGGACATGAGGACCTGGGATGCCCACCAGACTGCCCAGGCCGAGCGGCTGCCCCAGGAAACAGCCGCAGAGATCTGAGCCCACACGGGCCGGGCTGAAGGACAGTGTCACCCCTTGGTCCTTGTGCTTCAGCAGTCCTGGGCCCAGTCCTGGTGAGGCCTGCCCAGCATGAGGACTTGGTCTTCAGGAAGCCATCAGCCCAGAAAGCAGTCCTCCCGCTCCTGGTCTCTGCTCCCGCCTGTCTCCAGATCCTCTCAGAGATACGCGTCTGCTTTATTTTCCCTTTTCTCTCAGTGGGAAGCTTTAAAAGCCGTGAGACTCTAAGAACAATTTCTTTTTCATCCAGTTGGGTAGCAGGAAAAAGCTGTAAAAGCTACAGGCCGGGCCGGCCTGTCCCAGCCCCTCCTTCCTGCGGCTGCTACAGCTCCCTGTAGGTGAGCAGCCACGAGAGACAGCCTCCAAGCCCAGACACAATCTCCCCTGTGAAGTCACGAATGTTGGACTCAAAATCTCACCCCCTCACACTCCACTCTGCCAGCCCAAGCTGGTCAAGACCAGTGAGGCCTGTCCCCACCACGCCTGGCCTGGCTGGGGGGCGCTTGGGGGCAGGTTGTCCAGGTGGAGAGTGGTGAGCATGAGGTCTCAGTAGCCCCAGGCCCAGGGCTACAGCTGGACTGAGACCCTCTCCTTGCTCTAAGAAGTTGCCACTGATACTGGCCACATGATGGGGTTGGTTCACGTGGACGTAGTGATTGCTGGGACTTCCACAAGCAAACCGCTGGAGAAGGGAGAGCACGCATAGTCAGGTGCGGCTCAGAGCGGTGGCTCTGGGACCCTCTGTCCCAGCTCTGAGGGGTGTGCCACCTCCCAGAGTTCAGACGTGTTCCCCACAGTGAGCTGCGGGGCAGTAACTGACCCAGAGCTCCGAGAGCCCGTCTTCACCATGCCCAGTGGGTGAGTCAGGCCCTGGCTGTAAGCCAGTGACAAAGGCCCGATTACCCAAACCCTGGGGTTCTGACCCATTCTGTGCTGTGAACTTGTCCAGTTAGGCTGGGGAGAGGCCAGTGGTTGGGGTGCTGCCAGTTCTGGTAATTATATGAGGTCCACTTGGGAACAGAATGAGCCGCTTTGCAAGCTTGCTCTTGCCTGGGAGAACAGCTGACAAGAAGGGAAGATGCACCTGCTGGCCACCCTGCCACACAAGCTCCTTTCTGTGGGACGCCAGGATGTCTGCAGAGGCCCCAGGGTCAGGTGTTTGTGCCACATGATCATAAAATGCCAGGTGTTCCCCAGGATGAAGTTACAGCATAAGGCCCAGCCCTACCTGCAGCCAGCACCCACTGAGGGGCCTGGTCATCGGTTCCCATTTGGGACCGTAGAGAATTGTGAAATGGTCTCTGGCTGAGTTGGGCTTGACTGGGTGGTTATGTAAAGACAATAAAATGGAATTTGCTAGTGAACAGTTCATCCCTGTGCTGATTTACATGTGACCCCAGGTCTCTGGAGACTGTGACCACAGGGGCATGGGGTCAGGTAGCTGTTAAACCTGGGGCTGAGCCAGACCAGGATTCAGGTGCAGCGGAGCCCAGAGTGGCCTGACTGCCCCCGCACCCCCTTCTCCCAGCCACCCTGAGCTCCCACACCTACCTCCTTTAAGACATTTCATCTCGTAAGATGGGAAAGTGTAGACCTTCCTAAAAATCTCGCATCGTAATCTCTTTGGATTGCTCTGGAAAACGAGAAAAAACTAGGGTTCCTCTCAGGTCGGTTTCCATGCAGTGCCCTCCACCCTGGCCTGGGTGACCCTCTGATTTGCCCTCAGCTGGGTCCCACTGAGCTCAGATTTAATTCGAGATTCCGCCATTTGGTACCCCGCCGGGGCTGGGGCCCGGCGGAGACCAGCTCGCAGTTGCTGCCTGACGGCCGCTTGGTGGCAGAGCCCGGATCCGAACAGCTCCTGAGGCCATGCCTTTTTTTTTTTGACAGCTTCACTGAGATAATTTTCACCCATTTTAGGAATATAATTCCATGGATGGTTTTAAGTGTATTCAGTTGTGCAACCATCACTACAGTTAATTTCAAAACATTTTCATCACCTCAAAAAAAAAAATCTTGACTCTGTTTTCTGTCTCACACACACAGCTCCCAGTCTAACACCACCACCAGTCGCCTGTCTAGGTTTCCCTGTTCGGATTTGCACGGGATGGAGTCGTGCAGCGTGTGGCCTTTGTGTCTGGCTTCTTTAACTCAGTGTGATATGTCCCAAGTTCATCTGTGTGATAGCATGCACCAGGGCTTCACCTTTATGGCTGAAAAATAGTCCATCGTTTGGCTAGACCGCATGTGGCTTGATTGTCCATGATGGACATTTGGGCTGCCATGAGTCGTCACTGTGTTTGGTGGACGTGTGTTGGGTATACACCTAGGAGGGATGTGCCGTGTGAGAAGGTCATATGGTAACGATGGCTTGAGAAACTGCCAGGCTGTTTTCCAAAGTGGCTACACCACTTCCCAGTCCCAGCAGCAGTGTATGCGGGTCCTGGTTTTGCCCATCCTTGCTGACACTGTTACCGCTTTTAGAGTCTGGCCATCCTAGCGAGTGTGCAGTGTTTCTCATTGTGGTTTGTATGCGCACATCTTGAGTCTATGCTTTCTAAACCTTGTGCTCAGCATCAGAGGTACAGATGTGTCCCCAGGAGGCAGTTCCTGCCCTGGGTGTACCACGGTGCAGGATGGCTGCAGTGGAGTGGGGAGTGACATCTAAGCCGCACTAAAGGATGTCCACTGCTGTGGGACCCAAAGGAGGAATTGCTTATGGCTGGGTGCTGGGGTGGGGGAGGAGCAGCATAGGCCTAGGGATGTGAGAGGCTGGGGTGGCTGGAAGACGTGGGGCAAGGGCCAGACTAACGTTTGCCAGTCTCTACCTTACTTGGGCGTGTCCTCCACAGATACCTGTTGAAGAATGTGGTATAGTCCTCGTCCCATCCCCTGCTGCCCAAGCCCTCCCATCACTTTGACTTCCTTCCACACACCAGTTACTGGGGGCTTCCCAAGAAGGATGGTGGCGTGGTCTCACAGCGGGAGGCCTGGCCCTCACAGTCCGTCCTGGGCGCTGGGTTCAGACTTACTTGATGCGCAGCGCGCAGACCTGCAGCTTCGTGGTGGAGCGCTCACACTGCTCCTTGCTGGTGTAATCACTCCAACTGCAGAGACAAACCCACGATGAATTCTTGCCACCGGGCACCGAGGGCCGCTGTGGGTGTGGAACCTGTCTCTCGAGGGCAATGGGGGACCTGGTGCGGCCACCTCACCCATCCACCCCAGGACGGCTCCCAGTGCCACGTCACCTCGACAGGGGCCTCTAACTGCCACGGGCCAGAGACTTTTCCCCTAAGTTTGTTCTCCGTCCTCCTGGGCTCATGGCTGCCCATCCAGACGTCATTTCCCAGACTCCCTGACAGCCAAGTGTGACTAAATGCAGAGAAGTACCTTGGCTACTTCTGAGCCTAGATTTTGGCTGAGGTGTGGCCGCTTCACACCCCGCTTCGCGGCCCACAGCTGGCCTGCGATGCTGCCCAGCCAGCCCGGGCCCTGCACTCTGCAGAGCGGAACCTACCCGCCTGCACCGACAGTTTCCATGAGGAAGACACTGGCCTCCGTCACAGCCCTGACCAGCTTGCCTGTAACCATATAAATGTCTGGGTCTGTGCTGTGCCACACGGCAACGTGTGCTTGGAACAGTCTAAATTGAGACGAGCTGTCGGCGTGACTCGCACGCTGGATTTGGAAGACTTAGTGTGAAATAATAATGCCAGCTGTCTAAACACTGTTTGTAGTGATTATGCTGAAATGATAGCGTCTTGGATACAAGCTAAAAATTGTTAAACTTGATTTCACCTGTTCGTTTTTACTCTTTTAATACGGCTACTAGAAGATGTAAAGTTACACGAGGCTCACGTCACTTGGACTGGATGGTGATGCCTTGGGCTGAGAACCCCCTGAGGGCACCAGAGTGCCCTGTGTCTGCGGCTCGCAGCTCCCGGCCTGACAGAGGAGGATGAGTGTGTAGTGAGTGGATTAACTCAAAGCTCCCGTAAGGACCGAGTCTGTTAGACCGTGCCCAGGACCCCTGCACCATCATGGTGAATATAAAATTCCCACGAACGCGTGCTGTCTGGTCACAGCTCTGAAAATTCACTGCCCGTGTTCTGCCCTGACCCCCTTCCAGCCATTTCCGGCTCCTCAGGCTGAAACGACCTCGGATGCTTCTGCAGAAACAGAGGTTCCCATATCACCCACCAGGCCAGATGAACGAAGATTTACTGCAGCCGCAGACAGGCCACGCGTCACCTCCTCCCAAGGCAGAGCGCCTGACTTGAAAAGATGGGTGGGTCCTGCGCATGGGAGGGGCTCACCCAGACCAGTGCTAACGCGCAAGTGAAGGTCGGAAAGGCTAAGAAACTGTGTCAGTCAACAGCTAACTGGAGGTGGCACCGGGACTCAGCTCGGGCATGGCCCCCAACCCACTGTTCTGTCCGCCCCTCCATGGCCTGTCAGCCTCTCTCTAATAACACCTCCCGTCGGGGCTGGGACTCTGGCTTACAGGCTCAGTCAGGGCCTCAATTACACGTGTCCGGCATTGGCTGACCATGGCTCCTACTGCAGGACCGCTGCGTAAGACAGTCTCCAGGGGACGGAAGGGCCATCTCCAGCCACCCAAAAAAACAAACCCGTGCTCTATGTCAGTGGAGAGTGGGTCTCACCCCCATTACCACACTGCCACCTGGAGAGTGACCTGGCTTAGGCCAGGGGACCAGCCAGGAGCACTCTCTGGAGGAAAGCTTTTCCATCGGGGACCCTAGGGCCCCGGCTGAGGAGGATCTGGCAAGAAGCCGTTAGCCTAAGGATCAGCACACAGGAGACAGCACGGCAAGCGAGCCTCGGCGGGTTCGACCACCCCAGTAGCTGGTGGTGCACCAGCTGGCTGTTCATCCGGGAAGAAATGGCAGTGGACCCCCACCATGCACCACTGATTTTGTTTTGGTTTGGTTCTGTTTAATTTTCATAAGAGTTTATTGGAGCCAAACTGTCGACTTATGCCGGGGAGCAAGATCTCAAATGCTCCCACCTCACGCTATTTTGAAGGGACAAATCCCAGTTGGATCAAAAGCAAAACTCGAACATCCCCATGCCCTTGGCAGAGGCCTTGGTTCAGGCCCCATGTCCAAGCCTGGGTCTGGGCAACAACTTTCAGTGGTCTCTGACGGCAGAGCGTCCCACCTGTAATGACGATGGCTCACATGTGCAAAGCATTGCACCCTCTTGAACAAGCGCAGTAAGAGCACCTGGAGTGAGAGCACTATGCTTGGCCACTCCACACACGTGACCTTGGCGAGTCTTCACAGCAACCCCACGAAGGCAGGCACAGGGGCTGCTACCTCCCAGCGGCTCATTAACTATCAGCCTCAATGAATAATGAATACAATGAAAGAATGCACTATCTCATGACATGCAAGACAACTCAGACTCAGGGTCAGCGCCTTGCCCAACGTCACACAGCTGCCGGGGGAGAGGCTGTTTGTACACGTGCTCCTGTCACGCCTCCAGACCTCCAGACTGGCAGCTGCTTTTTAAGGCCTCTCCTTTTAGTCTTTGCTAAAGGAACCCCCCCTCTGCAGAGATGCCCCGAGCCCACTCCTGGCCTTTCCCAGTGTGGCAGCAAGTACCTGCAATGTCTTCTCTTCCTCTGCCCACCTCGGTCCCACCTCCCTGGGCCCAGCACAAGCCCCACCTCCTCTAAGAAACTCCCGATCACGCCCTCCACCAGCTTCCAGGTGGCCTCCCGCACCCCTACTGCCCTTTCGGATGATTCAAGCGTTTGTAGCCATTCACATAAAAACCTAAACAAACGTGACAGAAAGGTGGGCCCTAAAGCAGGAGTTCACGTCTGCATCCACGGACGTGCACGCCAGCACAGGGGGCCCTGCGAGTCTGCCTGCCACACGGCCGGCTTCACGTTTTGCTCTGTGGGCACCTGTGTGCCAGTCATGGTTGGTTTTTTCAATTGTTACCTGAGTGTGAAATCCTCACTGGCTGTGCTGTCATACCTTAGTCTCCTTGTCTGTAAACCGTGGGTGACAGCAGTTCCTGCTTCCAGGGCCGCAGTGTGGATTCTGAGCACAGAGGAGGCCCCTAGAGGAATGAGGAACTGTCACGTGGCTCCCGAACCCCGGCTTTTGGCCATCCTGCGTCCTGCATTTCTCCCAGGTGCAGAGCAAGCCCCGCCCCTGCCAGCCGCTTTTGGGACACAGCCAGGCCCGGAATCTGCTGGTTGGTGGATCCCTCCCTTGCGCCCAGCCCTTGCCATAAGGAGACCGATGATTCAAAAGAGGCCAGACACCATTTCGCACCCGGCAAGATGGCTAAAATTAAAAAACGGGGAATAGCAAGTGTTAGCAGG